AATTTTTCCGATGAGCAAAACATTAGACCCTTAGACTACCGTTGCCGTTCCGGTAATGCGAATCTTTAGTGCTTCATAATTGTGAATGTTTTCTAAATGTTCTAGGCACTGAATGCAACACTTCTACTCAGATCGTTACCCTGATCTAGCTGTATTACCTTTTTTTTAATATTCAGTTTTGTACAGCCTCTAGCAATTTAAGGACGGCTGAGGCACATGGTCTCACTATATGATATTTCATGAGCAATTTTGAACAGATCGACGCAAGATCGTATGCCACATTCATGTATGCATTGGTAGGTGTACTCGCGTCACCATCCACTAGCATTCTGCAACTAAAACGTAATTTTAAGCTCTTCATCTTTAGGTGAAGATCTACAGTACTTTATATCATCCTTCCCCATGTGTATGTGGTTGTGGTGGATCTGAGCTCGATTATTCAAATAAAACGTTTGTCGTTAAAAAATGTGGGGTCAAGACCGAATCTAGGCAGTATACCCATTAAATACCGCGCCTTAAGGTCAAGTAATCACGTACAAATACTAACTTGGTGGCTTCTGGAGAGATCGCGCGATATACTATACTCTACAGAAGTTAAGAGTTCAATACATCTCTTTAGGACTGCAAATAACCTGAAGAATATCCAGTATCGCCTATTACACTCTGATAAAAAGTCGAAGCTTAATTTCCTATATGGTGAGTAAAGCCCCAACGAGATGTACAAAAGTGTAAATAGACGAAAGTGTAAAGAGATGGACGAAAGTGAAGCGTCTATTGAACGCGTATTGTAATCCTCGTACAGTACTACATACGAATCGACTTTGTAATTGGCACCATCCACCACGGACTCATGTAAAGTATCGAGTCTTTTCTATTCGAGATAGATACTGCAACATTTGCTAAAGAAACTCTTTGCATATAAAGATCAGGTCAAGAAGGATTGAAGATTAAGCAACTATCTAACTGGTCAGTGACTTGGACAACGACTGTACCAATTATAAACGCTTGTTCAGTCTATCGATTCTTATATAAACCAACAATACTTACAGGAACTTACTGCATACATTTTTGTACAGCTTACAAGTTTTGCTGCGGTCATTTTAAAGGCCGACTCAAGAGCACCTGGTAAAGAACGAGTCATGAATTTGCTCTTATTGCGATCAATATCTATACGAGGTAAGGAACACAAGATTTTGTGCCTTTTTGTACGAAGAGAGATATCATATTAGTGCGACATAGAGCGCGATTTCGTGACAAGAATGCTTTCTCTCGAGTGCGTCATTCCCTTGTGCTATAGACGCAGCTTTTTCTCACTCAAATGACGTGATAACATTTATAATCTTTATTATCTTGCGTGGCATATTTAATCCTTAGGTGTATTCATTTTATCTACGACTTAACTCGTTGTAGCCCATGCGACGATGACGTCGTTTTTTATACCTTTTCTTCCAGCAAAAACATATGTCTGATTACTTATCGTACATGCAGTATTGTTGTTGCCGATCGCCGTTCGATTTTTGTTTGAATAACATCCATCTTTTATTAATCGAGAGTAAACATATATTATACTAGGAGTTGCACCGTCATACATTCTTTTAAAGCCTCATTGATGTCGTCTCGTATAATCTATATGACGGCAAAAACTCTGTAAATCAAGGTCTATCGAAATCAGTTTACAAGCTAGTTTTATATATATCAGTTGTTTTTACCGATCCCGGTGGCCGAGTGGAAAATCACTAGCACTGGGATAGAGAGGTACGTGAACCGATACCCGAGCAGAGGCTTTTGATTGCGCATCGCCGGAGAGTGGCCAAAAAAGCCGGATACAGTAACTCGGACGCGTAACTATATATACCTCAAACTACATCATTGTCGAAAAATACACGTTACTTTGATGGGGCGATTACGATGTGGTTTTGTAATTGCCACAAGTACGTAATGCATTACTATAGGCTAAATTAGTTGTAGCAGGCATGCAAAAGGAACTTGCTCTGTCTATTAAAACATTCGCAATATGTTTACACAAATTGAGAATAATGCATCACATTCACTTCTACCGCGCACGCCCACGTCTACCATACGTAAAGTTGTCCATCGGCTTAACTTTGTTTGTTTCACAGCGAAGATAAAAGCTATACCCAGACAAAGTAAAAGTCCTACTCTTCGCTCCTTGCTGCTAACAAATGTCATAAGTACGCTCTCACGTGTCACAATTTCACGGCAAGGTGGCTACATTTTATAATGGTCACCAATTTATTACCATTTATGAATACTACTGATCGAAAGTCACACATATTGTACAAACGCAGCTCTGCAACTAGACGTTATCACTTGATCTGAAGTGGACTTACTATCAAGCATCAACTTGCTTCAGATAGTCAAGAATACAAAATCTTTAATTTTTAACAAACCTTTTTGTTTACTTGTACATGCATAAAATGCGTCGACGCTACATCCCACATCCAGAGAACGTAATATGTAACTGCTAATACGTACTTTTGCGCACACATGTCATGCATTCTTACCGGGTGTAACGGGTATTCACAGCGTGTGAAGGTTACACAAGGGACGGAGACACCTCAAAATGATATTAGAACACTATATCAATTTTCGGGGGCTGAAGTGTGTCAGCCACCGAATGAAGTGATCTACGAATAGTTATTAATTAGAACATCAGTGACTAGATTAATCAAGCTATGCTTAGGTGTTCTTTCGAAAAATAAGAAATAAAATTCAGTTTTCCTTTTGATCTGCGAAAGATAAGTGCCTTTCTAAGTCGTCTTGCGATCGTTTAAGAGTATAGCATACGCATTGGTAAGGTAGCTAGTCTTAGAGAACTCTGTACTGTGATTCTCTGAATCGTTTGGTCCCCTGGAACAGGGACATTAAGCTCTCTGAGCTGTTGACTCTCTGGTTCGGGTTCTTTGAACCATAATTGCTCGAAAACCGTTAAGTGTTCCTTCGACTTAAGGAGCTGTGTAGCTCCGCTGCACTGGAAAAGCCGTCCATATCAGCCCTTCAGTCCACGGCAAAGGATACTATATACCTGCAGCAAACTCATGCTCCTCTATGTTGGATCAGCAAAGGAGTCAAGCTGGATGATGCTTTTGATGCTGCTGGGTTCTTTTGATTGATTGTGCTTTATTTTAAGTACTCTGGACTATTCTTTCTGTCAACTTCGTTATAGAAAGTTTATCGATAGATGACCAAATGGAATTAGGTTAGTGTGGTTGGCTGATTAGCACGTGGTCTATGTCATTTTGTATGCCTTCTACGCGCTACACACTCTACAATGCAAATTCGCCCAGTCTTGGCGATCGTGATGAACCGCAAGTCAGATTTTTATTCGATTATGTATAAGACATCTAGGTCTATCGGAATCGTGCTGACAGATACGACTGGTACATTCCTTTTACTCATATTGTGCTACATAAGCTAACTGGTGGCACCCGTCTTGTCGTCACTATCACGAAGGCATAAGCGCTTAGCCAATATGAAATAGTTGACGCAGGTCAACTCAGAGCGAATGCATTCAGCCATGTTCCCAATCTCTTGTATCTGCTATTAGGCGTAGACAGCTCGGACTTGAAAGCGCAAACATGAACAATCAATGGCTGCATTGTCTTGGCGCTTTATTGTGCAAGAACGTACCACGATAGCTTATCCATCTATCGTTTAATCAAATTTGGTAAATAGTAATTGAGTTTGTTGATCGAGCCAATGTAGGGCACACATTAGCGAATACACCGTATCTAAGTAATAATCACCACTCAGCGAACTACATTGAGTTGGTGTATATATCGTGCACGTGATCGGCCGATTTACATGCACCGAATTGTACCATGCAGTAAGCCTGGTAGAACAAGAGACATTGGACATAGAATCGCGTAGTGTTGTCACATATTCGATCAGACATTTTCAAAAGTCCCGGTAGCAATCAATAGATTCTTCGTTGCGGCTAGCCTCTTAAATTATTGATTCTCTGCTACAAAGTCTGATGATATGGTCATGAAGAAGGATTGCATCGACACTTACAGTTGTCGAAAGAAGACAAGGAAACATGCTTGAGTCCTATTCTGTAATGTACTGTAAATACGCAGTCTCCACGCTGTATATCTCGCCGGGTCGAAGCAAGTCGCCTTCGCACCAATCGAATGCCAAGCGCCAGTGTTGGTACATGCTGAAAACATTTGCGGGACCTCACACTTTCGATTCCATAGAACTAGGCTTATGAAGATTTCTACGACGAGGCACAGCTTTTGTCTAGAACGTATCTTGGTACCTAAGGCTTATGTGGCACCCTCAAGACCACCAGTTTGGTATCATCCAGACGGAATGCATCCAGTCCACAAGTCGGATTAAGGCGGAAGGCCTTTGTCGCTGCAGATTTTATGGGTCAACAAAGTTTCTGAGAATGTACAGAACCTTATCAATATTGCCAACCGTCGGTTTCTACGGCGCAATGTATCCGTGGGCTTCATCTGTTCGCGAACACTTTGTCGATGAGATCGTCAGGGAACTGTAAGCTATTCCTGTTTACGTTGCCTGCACCGACCAAAGCGTACTTGACCAAGTCATAAGAAGGACAGAATTTGTACCCGTGCTTTTCACAGACACGTACATTCTTCGCGTACGTTAGCACTAGTGGACCACGTCGAGTCACCCCGTTCAACAATTGTGCTACGTCGAAGGTATCCCACTGCGACGACTATGTTTCTACACGACTAGTCTCGGCAAGCAGTATTGGCAACTGATTATGAACATCAACTTCCGTGTCCATTGCGGAAACCAAGTCGCGAGAGAGTGTTGCAAAGTTCTGGTGGTCTCGCGATAGCGACGTTGAGATCATCGGATCAATGAAAACTTGTGACAGTGATGCTGTGGTCACACGCGTTGACTTTTGCGCACATCTTTCTATAAACATGCTGAACTATATGATCGCAAATGCTGGTTCAAGCCACGGCAGCACATGATGTACATCCGTATCACATTCCAAGGCGCTAACGAGTAGAAGCTGTGAACCCGTTGTTGCGAACGACACTGCTATACCAATGAGCTGACTTCTTGGGCGTACGCTCCATGGACTCGTAATCAACCCAGTGTAGCCCAAAGCGTTTCGCATAGCCCTCGGCCCACTCGAAGTTGTCGACAAAAGACCACGCAAAGTACCCACGCACATCCGCACCTTGCGCCAAGGCGTTGTGCAGACCTACCAGGTATTCTTTGTAGAACTCAACCCGAAAGTCGTCTTCCTGAGCTTCTTCCTTCGTTCGATCTGGCCAGGCACACCCATTCTCCGTCACCACAATGCCATTCGGGACTTTGTAGCGCTCCTGAATCCACAGAAGTAGCTTCTGGAAACCCCAACCAGCAGCATTCCAGCCCATGTCTGTGCGCTTCCAAGAGTCATCCGACGTTAACGTCGTGCCTTCGTCTAATGACAAGCCGCCGGTGCTGTCGTCCGGGGGCGGTATCGCGGCCTCGTACTCGTCTGACGGCTCAGCGTAGTTGAGCCCGTAGTGGTTGAGCCCAAAAAAGTCAGAACTACCCTTGAGCAACGCTTTCTCGTCGTCCGTAAACTTGGGTAAACGCAAACCGCAGCGGTCCTTCATGACTTGCGGATAGTCACCCTTGTAGACTGGATCAGCGAACCATCCCAAGAAAAAGAGCAGCGAGCGCTCGGCCGCCTCTTCGTTCTTGCGCCTCTGCACCGGGTCAGCCGTCGGTCTTGGTTCGCGCCAGTCGCAGTTCAGTGTAATGCCAATCGCGCCCTTCTGTACCGCCTGAAACTCGTTGCGGTAACATTCTACAGCACGAGCATGAGCTAGCAGCAAGTTGTGTCCAGCGAGATAGACCGCTGTCTGCGGCGTGCACTTGCGCCCTGGAGCGTGAAGACCATTTCCGTAGCCCAAGAAAGCTGAGCACCAGGGCTCATTGAGCGTCAACCAGTGCTTCACCCGGTCTCCGAACCGCTGGAAACACACGCGAGCGTACTGCGCAAAGGCTTCGTGGATGAACGTGCCCCCGAGCCATCCGTCGTGCTCGAGTTCAAGTGGTAGGGGCAGGTCCCAATGGTACAGCGTCACAAGTGGCGTGATGTCGTTCGCCACGAGTTCATCGATGAGGCGATTGTAAAAGGCGACCCCGTCTTCGTTCACTTTGCCGACTCCAGTGGGCAGAATACGTGGCCATGCAATGGAGAAACGGTAGGCAGGCAGCCCCATCCGTTTGATCAGCTGCACGTCTTCTTTGTAGCGATGGTAGTGGTCCACGGCCTTGTCACCAGTGTCGTTGTTATGGACGTTGCCCGGTGTGCGAGCGAAAGCGTCCCAGATGCTGTCGCCACGTCCGTCTTCGCTCACCGCACCTTCGACTTGGTAGGCAGCAGTGGCAGTGCCCCACATAAAGCCCTCGGGAAACCGTAGCTCTTCGGACATTGTACGCTATTTGGTGGAGGACGACGGTCTACAGAAACGGTGTGCAGCAGTGGTTGGTGTGTCGATGAGCAAGCTGAAAAAGGAATGAGCTGCTCTGAAGCTGCACAAAACGCGCGACACGAGACGGTTCGGCCTCGTGCTCCGTGAGAAATGTCGACATGAATGGCTCAACTGCAAATAAACCACTCCACGCAATCTGATCCGCTTGACAGAAGTGCTGCTTCCTTGTCGATGAGGCTTTTTGTCGCCACACAGTCTTGTCGCAACAAGAACTGATCATACTTTGTCGGTCTGAACAATGGACTGGTCGACAGAAAACGTAGGAGATGCAGCACTTGCACATTGCTCTACACTGACGACTATTGACGACAAGTTGCAGAAGCATCTACGCTGCAACTGACTTTTCAGTGGAGCAAGTACGAATCGAGGAACGCTCTATGCGAAAAGACGACAAACGACAATATCGTATCACATAAATTTTCTAGCTGTGCACGTATGTGACAAATGCCGGGTCGACGTTGACTGAGGCTTTCGCCTTGCTATCAGTACAAATGATACTCTCACACGGCAGGTATTCAGTAGATAGATGGACAGCCGTGAGAGGAAAAACGTATCGCGTGCACCCGACGCTGACGGTATACTGCAAAGTCGCGTACGAAGTGGGGACGTGGGATGTTGATAGGTGAATGGTGTCTTAATTTGTTAGCGCTGCATTATTTGCCGGAATCAATATAAGTAGCGGCAGAGGTTGCAGCGTTTGCTCTGACAACGCCCACGCTTTCGCTTGAATTGATGTGATGTGCAACATACATTGTGAATGTACGACACCGGTTTCAACTCGAATCGATCACTCAGAGTTTACGCTCGCAGAGGTCAGCATTCTCTGCTCGCCCATCTCGAACATCGGGTATTCATTCACAATTGAGCTGCTGCAACTCTTTGCAACTCGCTTCAAATGACACAACGCATCTCGCGTCAATCTGCTGAACTGTAGCCAGTCACATGTGAGTGCACCAATAGACTCGCCAATTGTCCTTTTTCTGCGTACCTGTATGAATGGTGCGTGTGGAACCATTGGTTGTGCTGTTGTCTACTTATTCGAGCCGTGCGAGTGGTAATTCGTTAATTATCCATTTGCAGGTAAGTGAGCACTGGATCTGTCTACAAGTTTACACCTATTTAGGTTTTCTCCCAGTAGATTTACCATGTTTTTACCAGTTCTAGCAATAAATACGATCTTACGCTACCATTTTCGTACATCTGTGATGTTGGCTGCTAGATTATCCCAAAAAGTACAATGAACGCAATCTTTTTGACACACTGCCACCTTACAATATTTTAAAACTCGAACGTATGACCAAACTAAAGATGCGTGTCTCTGTCGCTTCGTGTTTACCCAATTTCTGTAATATAAGGACCTAAAAGCATACCTCGACTTATTCAAGCCTCCACTCAGTATCATCTTCACGAGGAGTGCTACAGATCGAAGCTCAAAATCTACTTGAGTTGGCTTGGTAGTCAAGAAACATGCAGATCCTATATCGAGTATTTCGGCTGTCTCGATCGCTTAAAGCGCCGTGCGGCATGCATCCTTGCTTGCGCTTGCGATAATTACCGTTTAAGACGTCGATGATGGATGAAGTCGCTGCACAAACAAATAAAGCCAGAATTGGTAGGATAGCAGCAATATGTGCTATAAGTTTTATCCGAAAAGAGTGTGTTAATATTTCTTATCTACTAAAATGGTTCTAATCCTTCACATGAGCAGTGCCCATGCAAGAATGTGATACCAATTGATGTTGTTGCCCCCGCTCTTCGGGTGTAGCGTTATTCGTTTTTATAAATATATGTACAAGGGAAAGCTGACCCATTTTCATCTAATCAAGGTGTCAACATACATGTGAGTGGCCCTTGTGGGTCCCGAATTGACATGTACGAATAAAAAATAAGAAATGAACACTGAGTCGATTTGACCCAAGACAGAAACGTAAGTTAGAGTTCCTAAGCTTCTTTGTCGCTACGTGTGATCTTGTAAAATTGGCACCTAGCTTATAACAATACACTATTTGAATCTCGGGCAGTCGTCAGTCGAAGGCGACTGCTCCTCTCTTCCGCAGGTATCGGCGCCTCATGAATCACTATCGCACCTGTAGGAATACTGTACACAGGCACGCACGGACCTCCAACGCTCCTCTTTTCATAGTTAAACTCGAACTTGATCCCAACGACCAAGTGTTGCTCTGCTAGTTCAGGTGCCTTACGCGCGATTGTCTGAAGGTCTGTCAGTTTCGCCTTTGTACTGACGTACTCAGACTTGTACGACTCTCTGCATTCGCGCCGTAAACAAAACTAGGTTTGACATTGACTGGCTCGGTCGATGCGCTCATAGCTCCATTTCGATCTGTTTTAATCGCTGTTCGGTTGCCGATCCTGACCATAATCGATCCACCAAGACGATCTGCAACTCTCAAAATGCTTGTGAATCTCAAACAGCTATTTGTTTCACTGGCTCCGGTGGCCGCGTCCACGAACTCGGACTCAGCCTTCCAGAGTGCTACTGCACCTGTTGTTTACACTGCTAGCCGACAGCCGCTACTTTGACGAGCATAGTCTGTCCCCTCACTGATCGTCGTGTTGTCTTTTCCACCACATAGTCGGCAACGGTGTACGCTGTGAGTGTAAACGTGCCTTGCATCCTTCACTTGACGGCATGTGTAGCTTTAGTGCCAATGCCCCAGTCAGGTAGCGCGAAATGATCGTAGCCATCAGTATGCCTCCTTGAGTCGGCTCGCACAGCTTTTTTGTCGCACAATGCAAAGTTTGTGTGATGTCTGGTCGTGTAAAACGCACTTACAGAGCCAGCTTACAACAATAGACTGGAATACCTTATGTGTACGGATCTGTGCCGCTCAAGGTACTTTTGCCGGTAGCAGCTCGCCTCCTTCGAGCGCCATGATCGCGTAGCATTCATATGACACAGGTAGACGTGTCTCGTTGCCCATGCTGAGGCCGTTTTACTTCTTGAGCAGGATATCCGTCACCATGACCTCTTAGTCGAGTGAGTATCTGGAGTCCGCGCTGTAGCCGACTCGCATACCGAGGAAGTTATTTGCAGAGCCTATATCCAATTTACCTTTATACTATGCATATACCTCAAGAAAACTTACCCTATCGCGCTTGTGGCGATGGCTAGCAAGTCGCAACGTACGTACCAACAGCGAGCAATATACAGGTCGCGTTGATCTTGTAGCAAGGACAAAATATACGTCTACAAAACACTGGACATATCCAGCACCAAATTATTTTCGTGCAATATCTTTCCTTCATACTTGATAAGGCAAGAAGCTTCACACATCTTAATTGATAGAGTCTATTGAGGGATTTGACATAGCAAAGTGCCAGCTCGCTTAATCTCGTGGCACCAAAATTGTTCCGAAGTGGTGCGGCTATAGTTAATGCCTGGAGGGACACGCATGTGAATGATGTAATAGTTGTTCTTAGATATATCTACGCATGCACTTTTCACATCTAGGTGACTCGATGGCGCACGAGTGTGCATGACTGGACGTATGCCTTTTGTGCGCTCGTCGTTATGCGAAGGGAGAAAGCGTAAGTTCGCAGTCTATACCAACAACTTAGTGTACCCTCGGCGATTATAAGCGCCTTGCACTGCAAAATGACACCACATGTACCGTTAATTGGCTTGCGAGCCTAATTTATAAGCACAGCAAGTATATGTGAAGTTCCACTTTGACGACAAACCTCGTGATGTCACATCGAGGGATCGAATATGCTCTTGTCAGTTAATCCAACGATTTTTGTCTGCGTCTTGAATCGGAGTTATGTAGATATATAGATCAGGTAGATATGTAAATCTGGACTTGCCGCCCCCAAGGCCGGATTGGCTAGGCCATGATGCAATACGATTGCCGTAGAAGATGAAGCCTTGAGACATTTTCCTGAACACTGATCGACATTGGCATTTCGACGCTTGTGAGACTTCTTCACTCGCCTTGATCGACGCATTAGTTCTAGGACCGTGAGTCCTTATCACCGTGTTTCTTTTTGGAAGAAGTGGGTTCGGCTGCGGTCAAATTTAGCGCACGCTGCTGTCGCTAATTGACTGGCCATAGCAAGTATCGATTATCTATCCTCAAATTATTCTTCCACTACGTGTCGAAGCTCATCGTTTGCGCTCATATTTTACCAGTCATAACTAGTTATGTGTCTTGTCGTCACGTCCTAGAGATGACTTGGCACTGGGTACGGAAGTCCTTCATCTACTCGTACTTCGTACAACATGACGCCTTGGTGCATTACCTTTGCAGCAAGTCCGTGCGTGTGTATCGAAACACCGTACACAGCCATCAAAAGAAGGATAGGGCGGGCAATGTCAATGGAACTTGCCCGTAAATTACCGAAGTGGCGATACGCACTTAATTTCTACCGTGTTGCATATAATCTATCATGTATGTGGCGTATTCCTTCGCGTCGAAATAGAAATTAGGTGGCAGAATGCATCCAAAATCATGAGAATGACCGTACTCATGTTGGCTCGGTGCATTCTTTTCGGCTATTACATTGTAATCGAATCGTTGGTCTCAGTAGCTTGGTGCGAAACGCCAAATTTAAGACCGAATAAGTCGCAGCTCCTGCGCCCTCCTCCTCCCTTCGTGCGAAGCATGTGTACGCGAACAATGAAGCTTTTGCTAAAAGCTTATAACGTAAAAAGTTGAGAAAGTTTGGTTTGTTTTTTTGTGGCATCATCCTTCGTTGTTCTAGCTAAGAAAACGCCTTATATTGTCGAACAATCTACAAAATTACCCATAAGCGTTCCACTCGGCGGTCGCTGAGCATGACATGTCTTTTGGGACCGCTAAATTACTTCGTTGTCGGCATCTTTTGGCGCGCTGGGACTAAAGTCGCGTATTAGCTACCTAAGTTCAATGTGAAAGCAAGCATGGTTTATTATACTACTAGAACGAGAGGGTGATAGAAGA